AAAAAAAAAAAAAACCTTAGAATAAACTATGCTAGTAAATCTTTGTGACCTTTGATTATTAAATATTAAATATATATTTATATGTCTATAAAAAAAAAAACAAAAAAAACCCAAACATCTCATTTAAACCGAGGAAACTGAGACACTGGAAGGTTAAGTGACTAGTCCAGGGTCATTTGAAATCTACTTGCTGACAACAGCATTCAAATCCAGATTCGCATGACTCCCATTTCTTTGCTTAAAGCAGTAAGCTTTGTGGCTCACCTGGACCTGCTGCTTTTGTGCAGTCAGCATGTTGGGGTCAATAGACAGGGGGCCCAGCACCCCCATCATCAGTTCCTTCTCCATCAGCCAGGGCCGGAGCTGGGATTCTGCAGCCTGGAAGCTGGCCAGATGATTTGCAGATTCCTCCAGCTGCCTTTGCCGGGCCACGGTCACTTCAGTGGCCCTTTCCCATCGGGAATCTGTAGAGAGGAAATGAGAGAATGTGTTCCTTTACGCTCACCAGCCACTGGCCTGATCCCTAAGTTATGTTCCTAACCAACTACAGGAAATGACCCCTGCAGCATTAAAGTTTTTTAAGTTAAAAATAACCTTCATTTAATTTTAACTAAAGTAACGTAGTTCTGTACTTGATTGTGGTGGCGGCTATATGAAACTACACATGGGATAAAACTGCACAGAACTACATATACACACACAGACACAAATGCACATATATATTACACAACACATAGATTATTTTATAGCCTGTTTTTTAACTCTTACTATATAATAAACATCTTTTATGCCCATGTTTTTTCTATGTCAATAAATAATTACTACCATCGTTTACAGTTTAATACTATGAATGTGGCATAATTCACCTAATCCTTCCCGTGAGTAGATTATTTCCCATTTTTTCATTTTTATCACCAATGCTCTCTTTATCACAAGATTGTCAGATTGACTTGCCCAAGAAAGCCAAATATCTGACACTTTGAGTGGAATCTCTAGATCCTTTCCTTAATCAGACTCAATCTCTAACCCCATTTGGGCCTCTTGCTTGCTTCTGAAAATTAACTAAAAATAAGTCCTGCTTTATAGGATGTGCTGAAATTCTATATCTGCTTTGAAGATAAGCAATTTAGTGAATCTTCAATCCCCCTGTGATAACTTACTGAGTTCCTCTTGCATTTCCTTCCAGTTTTCTGCTTCTTGTGAGTTAGGATATGTCATCAGCAACCCAGCCAGGGCTTCCTTTACTTTTTGGATTTTTGGAGAATTCTGTTCCAATTCAGCTAGGAAGGCCTAGAAGAGAGAACAGCAGGGATGCCATGAGATTTCTGGATAGGAAAGAAATCTGTGTGTGTGCAGGAAAGGACTGGAAGACTGGGTTGCAATTATTGGCTCTACTTCTGATGCCATCAGTGACTTGTTTTGTGATTTCAAGATACCTAACATTTCTGCTTCAATTTTTACTTTAAAATGAAAATCTAAGTGGCAGGATTTTTATGTACAACACATTGGTAGAACTCAGTAAAAGGGTATTATTAATCCCCATACACAAAAACCGTCAGATATGATGATGATGATGATGACAACAAAGACGTCAAGGACATTTATGTAGTTGGAGGAGATGGCACGATATGCCCAATTAGAATATAAAACATTTTGGCAAAAAAAAATTTTTTATAGGATTTTCCATATGGTCTTATTTCTTCTGGTATTTTTCCTAGTTCTACATGTCTACCTTAAGAATGAACTGTAATTACAGCTATATATATTTAAATCCCCCCGGGAGTTGGAAAGGGGCTTTGACGAGAATGGTTTGGCTTACGGCATTATATGGAAAACCAGATCCCATTCTCAGTGAGCTGATGCTTCTGAGGAGGGATATTCTCTTTCTGTAAACAGGTCTGGTTTTGTTTCTGAATCTTATTTATAGCAATTTCTAACTTCATAGGTAAGAAAGTTCTCTAGTAGAGTTTAGGCATATTAATCATCTGAAAGGGCTCCTCATGGCCTGGGTGGGTGGGCATGTCTCACTTTCAGGTCCCAGGCTCAGGCAGGACCATCGGTACAACAGCCCCTTCCTCTTAGTGTTTGGGATACAGCTAATGTAAACATAGTACCTTGTTAGATTCAGCTTGGGCTCTCACTGTTTCCGGCTTGGTTGGAGATGAAGAGGCATCCATGGCTTTCAGGACTTCCTCTTTTGATTCCAGCCACTGCAGCACTGAGCCTGCCTCCTTCTGAACTTCCTGCATTCTGCTGAGGACAGCTTGAAGGCTTTCTTGATGTTCCCGAAGCACTCCACCCAGTTTCTCATATTTTAAGTTTACATCTGACATGTCACACTGGATCTCCGTCAGATCTAGCATCATAGAAACAGAAATCAGATTGGGATAGCTCTCCAAGCATCCTCCTGAATTCCTCATGCTAAATTACTCATCAGGATCAAGCGTCTCTCCTACTCCTTCTAGTGAACTAGAGATTCTGTTCCTGCTAAATTACATAAAATTTATTGCTTACATATACAAAGCAAAAAAATGTTTCATTAATCTGCTTTCAGATTTTGACATTAGGTACTCAGATATAGAAATGAAATGCTAAATACACTTGGGAACTGCAGAAGTGAAGGCAGTAAAGGATCTGGGGCATTCTTCTGCTCCCTCTTCTCCAAACTACAGAGAAGTCATGGGGCCAGAAGGTTGAATGCTAGACTAGACCACCTTTAGTGTGGCTTCTTTAGGACTCAAAGATTCGCATATGTTTTTCTTCCAGGTCTTTTCCTTCTTGCTCTTATCTAGTGGTGCAATTTATTTCCTAGTACCTTTATTTCATTGGCTGCCAACCTGTTTAGCCTTTAGCAATCCAGCAAAGAAGGATCACAGTGGCTTCTCCCCAGATTTTTTTTTAACCCTCATACCCATCCTGGCAGCAATTCTTTCACACATACGGAAACATACACAGATGCCAACGCGAACTCTGTCCTAACACATCCAACAAAGAGGCATTCTCACCTTTGCAGGTGTGGTATCCGTTTACACTGCCTACAGAGCTTCCTACAGAGGGCAGTATGGAACCTGAGCAGAAGGACAGGGAGACAAACAGGGCAAGACAAACTTGTGTTAGGAATACATACAGGCACTGAATTTGTTCTCTGGCACTCACTTTGAGCTCAGGTACCAGGAGGTTAACACAGCACAAGACAACATACTCATGGAAAGAGACAAATCATTTTAGCTGCCAGGCAACAACTCTGATGTTTCGGCTTCTGAGCAGTAGGCAGAAGATAGAAGGCTTCTAATCCCTTCTAAAGGAAACCCGAATTCCCTTCCTCAATCTCCAACTAGTATTCTCTGGACCCTGCTATAACTTTGCGAAGCAAGTGCTGGTAAAATGATGAAGTCTTTAGAATAGCTGTGCTGTCTGCGATACTCTGCAATGAGGATTTATAATAAAGCCAAAAGGCTCAACTTTAACATCAATGTCCTCCAACATAACAAAAATGAACAGTAAGTGTAATTGAGGACATAAAAAGCAGCATTCTTTTAATAAAGATATTAAAATGAAGCCTTCTCATGTTGCTTCAAAAGGAAGATTCTGTCTTTTCTTTCATGACTTTCTGCTCCCCTTCCCTACCAGAAAGTGGAAATTCTAAGTGCCAATAAATCTAGCTCATAAGCATTCCCATAAATTCTGCCTTTGGTTCTGTTTCTAATTACCACAATTTCACCTATGTTCTCCCCAAGTTGATTCCTGGTACTTCAGGAGTGTCCCAAATTAAATAACAGATCATGTGATTATAAAGATTATACAGAAATGTGAAGAATATTCATGATACAGTGTTACATTAAAAGGTCAGAATAAAACTCATGCACTGATTTCACTAGAAAAAGTTATATATAAGGTTACATTAAAAATAGTTAATTATAAAACTTTTAAATGTTAACATGATTGTATTTTCACTGAAAAAAAAAAAATGGATCAAACAGAAAGATCATATTCCATTGCAGTATGGTGATGGCCAAAAAAGAAACTGGACTAGTAATTAAAGCCAAGACTGTCACCAACTTGGTATGTGAGCCTTAGTCTATGGATAGACCTCAGTATCTTCTCCAGGATATGAAGGTAATACTAGCTATCCTGTTAGCTCTCATGGAGGTACTAGAGAGAGGTAATGAGGCAGTGTATATGAAAGCACTTTATAAAACAAAAAGAGCTACACAAATGTCAGGAACTGGAATATTCAGGACTTCTCAGAGATAGAAGAGAACTGTGAAAACACTCAGGCTAGTGATTTTCAAAGCACCCAAGGAGGTGCTTTAGGGACTCTGTAAATGTTTGGTTTTAAGTGTAATATTCAGAATATATTTCTAACCACTTAGAAATGGCAACAAAACGCGCATGTTCAATTATGTTGAATAGCACATCTTAACCAATTTATGCTGTTCTCGGCAGAGAATAAAGTAGCTCCTGTACCTCTCTGCATACATTTATACTTCTTTTTTGAGCGTCACTGATTGGAAAAGCTGTAGCTCTTTGCCAGGACATTACAATAGTCAAACCTACACATGTTCCCTCATACAAAGAAAAACATTTATGGCACATGAGTGCTACATTAAAGAAAATGATAAAGAAGGCTGTGGTGCATCTATTCGGATCAGGCTTTCATTAGGGTGGAATCCTGTTAACAGAATTCTTAACACTTCAGATCATGGTGATGTCAGGTTACAGGCAAATTTTTGTCCTCAATGCCAGTTTTAGGTACTTTCTAGGTTTAAGAAAAGAATGTGAGTCCTCATTAAAATTATTGGTGATTTAGCTTTGAAACAAGAATTTATTACATCACTTTCAAGCTTCTAATTCAGCTTAATTGATGAGTGTTCTGAGACTGTAAAGTGAACTTTTTAAAACATTTGTTATCATTTACAACTACTTATCTGTGTGACTTGCATTTTCTGGATATGATACAGGCAAACAAAATTCAGAAATAAATCAGATAACAAAGCTGTCATCCAGAAATCCTTTTCCAAATTTTTATATTCCCTAAGATAGTCTCAGTATCCTCACCGATGGATTGCATAATAGATAAATGATATAAATTCACTTATAAGGGAAATTTATGCCAATAAAATACCATTTGTATTGTTTTCTATAGTAGAGTTCGATTTGAGATTATTCTTAAACAGACTCTAGGGCTATAAAAAATTTGAACAACCACTGGTCTAGTCCAGAAGTGAAAAAACTATACTGGCCAAATCTGGCCCTCTGCCTATTTCTGTATATAAAGTTTTATTTGAACACAGCCACACCCACTTATTTATATATTGTCTATGACTAATTTTGTGCTACAATGGCAGAGAAGTGTAGCGTGACAGAGACCATACGCCTCACAAGCCTGAAGTATTTACTATATGGTTCTTTAAGAAAAAGCTTGCTGACTCCTGATATAGTCACACACTAATAAGTTGCTGACTTAGAGGTTTTATGTGTTGGAATATAAGAAGCACGAATTCCCTGAAATGGTGTCATTTCTGGGTAGTTCCAAGAGATCTTTACACTCCAAAAGAAAAGTAGCCATTCTCAAGAGGTAAAAATAAACTTTTCTCTTACTATGTCAGTGACTATAGAGGTGCACTAACACAGTTTGGTAATAAAACCTATGAGATCCTAATTAACAACCAGAAAGTGATTGTGAGCTCATACAGATTTTGTTTGAAAGACTTAATTTGCAGCCAGAGATTATTCATACATCTGGGCATAATCTTTGTGTCCACTTCCAAGAAGTGTGGCAGTCCTTGGTATGCCAACACTGACCCCTAAATGCTGTGTCTCTCTCAAGAGATCAAGCTAATACCCTCCAGGACTGACTCCAATGTAAAGATGATGCACAACCGTCCATTCACATGTTTAAAAGAGAGAAAATTCGTCAAAATGGAAATCTTATTTTAACCTTTCTCTGTTCATTTAGGCTAACTAGTCCCTTTAGTTTTTCCCACCATAAGAAGGAAATCTGCAAAATGGAGCAATGATAGATAGCAAATGGAAAACAGATCAGGTTGAAGGGGAAGACTGCTTTGTGGAACACTCCCCTTTGTTCTCATACTCAACCTTGATTCTGAGTTTTATTAAATAAGGGGTCATAACCAAAGGCCAAAGCAAAGAATGATGTTTATTCACTACATTTTTAAGAACCTGCACTCACCTGTCTTGGCCTGGGAATCGGGTGCTGTGATCTCCATGATGAGATTTTCTAAAGAAGTGCCTTTGCAATTGATTTCCTCCACCAAACTTCCCTTACTTGCCCAGTCATCTAGAAGATCCTGTTAAAAGAACAGACAGCTAAATGTAACATCTGGGGACTTTGGGACACCTGTTCTTCTAAATATATTCCTTAAAGTTTTGATAACATTGAGTGACCATCCTCATGTATGCAGCCACTTCAAGATCGGTTTAGCCAGTCATTATATGGGAGAATGATATCCTGGAATATTCAGGATCTTTTCATCCATCCATCCATCCATCCATCCATCCATCCATCCAATATTTATTGAACATTTACTGTAGGCCAGGCATCATGCCTAACACTGGGGATACAAAATACGATTATGACACAGTTCCTATAACCAAGAGCTCAGATAATCTATTGCACCATAATGGAATAAATGCTATTACAGAAATATAGACAGTAAAGTCTGAGAGCACAAGAGGAGACACACTTAATTCTGAGTAGAAGGAGGAAAGCTTTGATTAAGACAAAAGGTATAAAAAGGGAACAGGATGCATGTAAAGAATAAAAAGGAAATGGCAATTGGAGGGTAAAATGAGGAGCTCCATATGGAGATGTACAGCAATACCTAGAATCATAGGCTACACTTTGCATTTTCAAGGGAACTTTATATTGGGGTTGCAGTCAGAGCTCTAACAGGGAAAACAATTAGGAAACAATGGCATCTACTCTAACTAGGTCATGTTGTCTCTGGAGGTGGATTGCCTGCCACAGAAGCAGAATTTTACTTCTTCCAAAGCAGAGACACCATCCCAGCTTTGAATCCTTTCCTCCACAACTGAAGTTCCCTGACAGTCTACTTAGTTTACCTTAAAAAAAAATTTTTTTTAATGTTTATATTTATTTTTGAGAGAGACAGTAGGGGAAGGGCAGAGAGAGAGGAAGACAGAGGATCCAAATTGGGCTCTATGCTGACAGCAGAGAGCCCAAAGCAGGGCTCAAACTCATGAACTGAAGTCTGACGCTTAGCCAACAGAGCCACCCAGGTGCCCCTACTTAGTTTGCTTTTGGCTTTAAGCTGCTGAGCAGCAGAGGAAGACAGAGCCATGAACATCTAGCAAGCTCATGCTGCCTAACTGAGCCTTATCAATTCACAGCTGTCAATTCTTTTATTAATCACTCTTGATTCCAAAGAGCCTCAGTTCCCAGACAATGCATTGACTCACAAGATATTTTAAATGTTTGAGGGCAACACAGTGACATCTGTTGGGCACCATGTGAACAACTACTATTACATGATTTTGATCTAACCACGTAGGAAGTTGAGGTTTTTTAGGTTTTTTTCCTTTCCTGTTTCTTTTTTTGGCCTTGAGGTACTGTGAAAAATTTCTTGAAACACTAAGGGCACTGTGGACCAAGAAATCAGGAAGCTCTGCCCTGGGGGATTCCCTATAGCAAATGTTCCTGGCTCTCTCTGTGAAAGCAACTAAACTCTTCCCTGTCATCTGGCCTAAGACAAATCTTGCTTTACTAAGAAAAGGAAGAGAATGCATGAGAACTAGTTGGAGGCAGACTGGCTTGGTGTCAACAAAAAGAAGAGATGTATTAGAGGTGCAAGCAGAGGCCGAATGACTAAATCAAAGAAGGGATTCTGCAGGGGATTGGAGAAAGGTTAATCCTACTCTGGAAGGTACCTTCCAACCATCTGATTCTAACTTTCCTTTGTTTAGTTGTGGAGCTAGTTCTTTCCTCAACTTGCTGACCATGTATCTAGTCACTGGCTCACATACAACAATTCTCAAACACACAGTGAGAGTGTAAGTTTCTCCGGGACTGCACTTTGACAACTGTCAAACTTTGACAAGCTGTCTTTTTGACACAGCATGAGAGGCCTCCGAGAAACAGTTGAAACTTTATAGATGTTATTCCCCATAGGTTACTTTTGTGGTTTTGGTGTGGACGTACATACATGCATGTATGTATTTAGAGAGAGAGAGTTGAGAGCATGTGTGCTAGGGAGAGGGGCAGAGAGAGAGAATCTTAAGCAGGCTCCATGCTTAGCACAGAGCTTGACCCAGGGCTCGATTCCATGATCCTGGGATCATGACCTGAGCCGAAATCAAGAATTGGGACGCTCATCCCACTGGGCCACCCAGGCACCCTGGTTTTGGTTTTTAAATTGGAGATCTTTTGGTGCTCAGTGCTGAGGTAGGGGTAGGTGAGAATCACATGAAGAAAATGGGGAGATTTCTATTCTGATGATGCAGATGGATAACTTGGACTTGTCACACCACTTCCCTACCACAGGGGGAGATCAGTCCACACAAGCTTCCAAACCGCTGTCTAGTCTGGTTCCTGGAGCTCCTTTTGTTCACCTACCTTCAGGTGTTCGATCTGCTTTTCCAGCTCCTTAGTACTCATGAAAGTCTCTGTAGGTGGAATATTCCCTTCTGTTTCCTTCAGCCATTTCTGGAAGGTCCTAACCAGCTTCCGAAATTCATCCAATTGCTCCTGACAAGATGATGCATCTTCCTCTCTGTCAATGAAGACATTTTGTTACTTGCCAGACTAAGCTTTGTAAAGAAGTCAACTTGAACTAAAACTATACTCATTCTGGGACTCAAGGCAGCTTTTCCTTACAGGGCCTTTCCTTCCCATAATCTTTTCCACAGCAGCTTTGGCTAAACCACCACATACAATGTAAGAGAGCATCAAACTAAGGAATCTGTTGCCCTTGTTTGGACATTTCTGGGGAGAGGAGTCCTCAATCTTACCCCAGGCTAAAGTGAAAGCCAGAGAAACTGAAAGGAGCGTGCTATTTAGGTGCTATGATACAATGGAAAGAATGTAGGCTTTGGATGTCAAGGCCAGCTCTGCCACTTTTTAGGTAGTTGACTCTTTCAAAGCCTAATTCAAATGCTAATCCCCTTAGCAAGGAAGATGCCGAAACTGAGGCTCAGAGAAGTCAGCTTGCGCACACAAATGAATAAAATAAACCAAGGAGAAAGGATAATTCGATTTCGAAATTAAGTTCTGGAAGTGGCCACATCTGGCAGACTTTAAGCCAGAGATCCTGGTTCTTCATACAGCTAAACGGCCCTGAGCATAGGAAAAACCAGCCTTCCTGGCCTTTATCCCCCTCCTCTCCACTAAATAACCTGCTGCTTACAGTACTGTTTTGAGCAACTGCTTTTCTCTGGTCACTTTCCCAAGGCAGTCACTTGCCTAATCAAGGTTATATATATGGCTAAACCAAGAGAAGTCTTATCAAGCTCCTAAACCCACATGAGGTTTTCTAATGGAATCATGGCTTCTCAACAGTCAGCAGGTAATCTGAAATCAGCTACCCTTGTCATATATTCCCATGTTTGCCTTAAAAGAAGAATCCAGACACTCCTCTAAAACAGCAACTTAAATGTGGTCAAAACAAGCACAGAGAGACAGAGAGAGACAGAGAGAGAGAGAACCAATATAACCCTTAATTACATCTGCAAAGTTTCTTCTAATTTTTGTCTTTACTTCAAATCCTGCCACAATCCTACTTGCTGTCCCAAATTTGTTCTTTTGGGTCTAGGTGACCTGGGCCTTTGATTGTACAGAGGGGAACTGAGCTCCATCACTGAGAAGGAATTCATTATTTAGTAAAAGAAAACCACTAAGGACCAAGTAGATTGAATAGCTTTGCCTGAAAGAGGCACTTTCCAACTCCTAGGACTCAGTAGCAGAGTGCCCGATGCCATATTTTCTACTGAAGGAGGAAAAGAAAAGCATTTCATTCAACAGCAAGAAAAAATTAGCTCCCCGAATTGACCGACATATATGAAAACTCACCTTTCTTTAACTGTCTTCTGTAACTCTGTAAAGTCCTTTTTGAGGTTCTGTACCCTGTCCTGGTGTTGGGAGAGGTCCAGGGCAAAGCCACAGGAGCTCAGTTCAGTGACCAGGTGCTCGAGAGTCTCAAGGTTCTCCTGTTGATCTTCCATTTCCAAATTCAGTTCCTGTTAGGCAAATAAGGAAATGTAGTAAATCCTCTCATCATTATAAATAAGTATACTCTAAAAAAAAAATAAAAGCTCTATTAAATCTGGGGCAAGTTCCCTCTAATCTGTAGAAAAAGAACAAAAAAAGAGGCTCTCTGGACCAACTACAGCAATAAATATGGAGGATTTCTCCAATCCACCTGAGAATGGCTAGGAATTTAAAAGGAGTCTTGTCTCCTTTAAATAAATGTTCAAAGATTTGGGAGGCAGCATGGCAAAGTGAAAAGAATGGAGGTTTTTGGAGTCAAAAAGACTTCTGAAAATCAATCATGGCTTGTGATCTTAAGCTATTAAACTTCTCTGAGCTTCCATAGCTTCTCTCTTCTGTAAAACACGACAAACATACTCTCTCAACTATTATTTAACTCTGTAGTGAAGATATTAGCCAACGTGATTAAGGTAAGAGAAAACAACCTGTGGCATAAAAATTTGAAAAGAAGAGGTAAAACTATATTTGCAGATTATATGAAGTGTATTTATAAAACCCCAAGAGAAACGGGGCACCTGGGTGGCTCAGTTGGTTGGGCATCCGACTTCAGCTCAGGTCATGATCTCACAGTGTGTGAGTTCGAGCCCCACATCGGGCTCTGTGCTGACAGCTCAGAGCCTGGAGCCTGCTTTGGATTCTGTGTCTCCCTCTCTCTCTCTGCCCCTCCCCTGCTCATGCTCTGTCTCTGTCTCAAAAATAAAAAAGAACATTAAAAAACAAATTAAAAAAAAAAACCCAAGAGAATCAATACAATTAATCAAACAATGATGTAATCCAATAAAATAGCAAGCTTTATGAATAAAACCTTAAAATATTTCTGATAGACACAAAAGCATACCTCAATAAATGGAAAGATATCCATAAAGATATGTGTGTATGTATATGTGTGCATATATGCATGCATGAATAAATTTAACATGACCCAAATAAAACTACTAACTTTTCCCCCTATGACTAATAAAGTTGATTCTAAAGTTCACATGGAAAAATAAACATACAAATATAGATATGAAAAATGCTGAAGGAAAGCAAGAAAGGAGAGACTAGCCCTACTAGATACTAAAACATACCATAAAGCCTGAGAATAAAAAACAGTACGCTATGGTTTGTGAACAGACAGACCAGCAAAGAAGAACAGAAAATCCAGAAATAGACTTGAGCCTATACGGATAAACTATATATGATAAAGATGAGTTCTCAAATCACTGAGGAAAAGATGGACTTTTCAGAGAAATGGTATTGGGAACAACTAGATAGATCAACTTGGATTCATACTATGCACTGTATCTTAGAATAAACTTAAAATGTGAAAAGATTCAAATATAAAAGAATGAAAGAAACCATACAAGTTCTAGAAGTGAATTCATGGGTGAATTCCTTCACCTGTGTGTGGCAAAAGGCTTTCAAATTATGACCAAAAATACATGTTCAGTAAAAAGTGATAAAGTTTACTGTGTAAAAATTAAAAAACCCCTTACATGGCCAAAAACACTATATAAGCAAAAGACAAAGGACAAACTGTGAAAAAAGATTTTCAACAGATCACATAAAAAGAATTAATCTCCTTAATACAGAACTTTTATAAGTTGAAAGAAGAAAAAAACCCAAAAAACAAAAATCAAACTCCTGACAGAAAACAGTAAAGGCCATGAACCAATAGTTTACAAATAAAAGCCCTTAAATGTATAAAAATATACTTAACTTCATCAGAGAAGAAATAAAAATTAAAACCACATCGAAACTTCATATTTTCTCAATGAGATTAATACAAATTCCAATGCTGACAACATATTCTGCATGCACTGCTGGTGGGAATGCAAAATGGTGAAATCTTGTTGGAGGGAGGAGGATGTAGGTAAAAAGTATGCTGGTGTTTATTGTGCATTCCTTCTACTTTTCTATAAGTTTGCAATTATTCAAAACAAAATCCAAAAAGGACAGGATACGAAACAAAACCCAGAGACCCTACTTTAACATGGAAAAAGCTGGATAAACCCAAGGCAGCAATGTGGGGATACTGGAATGCTGAAGTGCTACAGGTGGCAACGTGGGCAAGTACAGCCACTGTGGAGCCAAGGTGGCCACTACTTGGTCAAATTAAGCATAGACATACGCTATGACCTAGCAATCCAGCAGCATATGTATCTGTATCTGTGACAGGTGATACTCCTCACCAAATATTTCCAACTCTGCACCAACTACATATATGGTAGGAATACATTTCTCCACCCCCTTGAAAGCCAGGTATAGAACCTGCCTTAACTAATGAAATGTGAATGGATTTGATTGATTGCTCCCTGTTGCAGCGGTAGTCATGAAGACATATGGCAGGATGAAGTTCCCGTGAACTTGAATCCCTGAAAATGACCGTGACGGACTAAGTAGCCCTACTGATCTGGGTTAAACATGCAGAATGAGTGAAAAATAAATCTCAGCTTTGTTTTTAAAAAATGGACAAACAATATCTAGTTTACAGGGCGGTTGTGATAATTCTTTAAGATAACGCAGGTCAAGTTTCTAGTACACTGACTGATGTATTATGTGCTCAGTGAGTGCTGGTCCCCTCCTTGCCCTTCTTTTCTCTTTGTTCTGCCAATTTGGCAGATATATTCTCACCTGGATCTGCTGGAAGAAATGTGCAATATCTTGATCTGGCTGATTTCCAGAGGCTAGCATCCGGCTTTTGTTTTCCATGAACTGCTGCAGCTTATCAGAGAGATGTTCAAACATCTCTGCCTGGGGCAGAAGCTTCTTTAGGGAGCTCTCCTTTTCTTGCTGCTGTAGACAGAGTTGTTCGAAGCGCTGGCTCACCTCCGCCAGTTTGCCCTGCAGCACCGCAGCCGTGGTGCTGTCTGCCGTCTCCATGAACCGGGTCACCATCTCACGGGTGGCCTCCAAGCTACTCTTTTGCCGAGCAATGTCTTGCTTCAATTTCTGTCACCAAAAATGTGTCTGTCAGCTCCTGGCTCACTTATCCTAGGATATCTGAGCCACAAACCAATAAACTTCTCATAATTACATGCTCCCTTCCTCAAGGAAGGTTGGATTGCAACTGAGCCTCTGTGATACCATACAACCCATCCCCTTAGTTCTCCAGCCTATTCCACCAGTGACTCTGTAGCACTGCTTTTCCTCGAGCTTAACAATGGTTTGGAAATTGGGTAGAAATATCTTTATGTGGATTAATCATCATCACTAAGTCTTATTAGAAGATTCATGGGAATGAATTCTTCTGATACTTTTTCAAAGTGATGAAATTCTGGAACACAGCAAATACATCCTCTATGCTAACTCTTGGGGGCATTGGTCTCACCATGTTAGTGGCCAGGGCTTCCTGGATGACTCCCGATGACAGTGATGTCACCTGCTCCTCTTCCAGGTTTTGCTCGACTTCCCTGATGGACTGCAACAAGCTCTCCAGGCTTTCCTGGACACTCTGAGATTGGGCAATTGCCTTCTGCAGCAGAGCAGAGCGCTCAGCCAGGTTACTGGAGAGGCTCTGAAAATGGCTGAGTATGGAATCTGGAAAATGAGGGCCATAAGAAGAGTGTGGACATGATTTTTGTGTTGTGCTTTTAAAAAGAATGTATTTAAATTGCACATGTTAATTACAATAATAACAGACATTACAACAAAAAGAAAGAATAAGCTTCAAGTGAATTTATATTTGAGCCAAATTCACAACGCACTGTTTACTGAGCACCTGCTAAATGCCAGAAATTGTGCTGGATGCTGAGGACTGAAGACAATTAAGATGAGTCCTTGCCTTCTGCAAACTTAGGACCATAAAAGCAAGCATAGGCAGCAAAAGGCACATCACAATTAACCATAAAAATAAAATCTTCAGTGTTATATTGATGGTAAGAGTAATGTACTAGAGAAGCCTGAAGGAAGAATAATTATTTCTTATCTTTTATTTCTTTTGGGGGTTGGAGGTGGTAGTCAGGACTTTACAAAGGAAGAAACCTCTCAGGTACAGCTAGAAGTTTGAGCAAGATTTCATCACGCATGCTAAGCACTCAATACATGTTAGCAGTTAAACCATAGGGAAAACTTCAGGGGTCAAGTAATGAAGAAATGACAAGTTTACTTGGGAAAGGAAAGAAGCAGGGCATGGCTAGAAGGCAGAATGCCTGGGGAGAGGAGTTGAAACCAGATTGCAAAGGCGGTCAATGGTGCAGGGACAAAGCTCATTCGAGGGTGAGCTATTGCCGGTTGTATCCTCAGCCCCTTGCGGGCACCACAGATACTTGCACGATATAGTGTGATGTATTACAGAACAGTGGTACATACTAAGAATTAAGGGAGCACTCTTGTTATTGCTGCTTCATACCTGTAGTTTCTTGCACATGCTTGCGGTCTGGAGCTGGCTCTCCTTCAATTTCCATGAGGTCATGGGCTACTTTTTGGAGCTTTTCTACAGGTACTTGGTGCTCAGCTAATTCTTCCTGCAACTGCTGCTTGTCCATGAAAAAAGCCAAAAGTAAAACCTCTGAGTAATCAAAGCTGGTTCTAGGAACCGAGAGCTCCTTAGCATGATGCTGCTGGAGCTATGAAGAATAATGCTGTTTATCCATACCCACAGATGTTAGAATTAACTGTTTTAGGAACCAGATCTTGTCCGAGGCATCCCAACCACTGCCTTTAACCTATGAGAGTATTTGCTTTATCTTGTGGTAGGTGCTCCATCCCATGTGCTAGAACAGCCTGTGTCCCCGCCTACCTTTGCTGTTGCAAGCTGCTGTTGTAGGATCCCAGGGTCAGAGGCAACAGTATCTGAGAGGAGCTTCTCCACGTTGGCTTCACAAGCCTGCATCCAGGCCTGCAGGCTGTCAGCAGTGCTCTGGAACTGCTGATACCGGCCTAGGAGCATGTTCAGGTGAGAGCCCAATCGTGTACACTGTGAGGGAGAAAAAAAGGGAAAGCAGATTTATGCAAGGGCAGGCTAGAGGCAGCAGCTTTGTAGGTAGGCACAGTCCAAAGAAAAGCCTGGCTTTGTTAAAGGGATCTCACTAGAACTACAATTGAGGGTAGTTCTGGGGACTCCATGGACAGATAAGTAGCAACCATCTTCTACAAGTGGGGCCTCTGCTGTTTGATCCATACTATTCACCCCAACTATATTATAGACCTGTGAAGATTTAGTGAGTTATATGATAAGCCACCAAAGAAATGCACACCAGGTTGCAGGCTAAGGCAGGGACTAGGAGGTACAAAAAGCGTTCCTTTTGGTGAGGTCAGAGATGTTGGCAAAATGCACAATACAAGTTAGAAGAACTGACTGGATTATACATCTTGGGAGCTAACGGGAATTCTCTGTTAGGGAAGAAGGTAAGGATTTACCTAGATGCTCTGTCTAGGAATAAAGACTGTGTATGTGGTTCAAGTTTTCCTTGTACTATGTCTCCTGCGAGCCCACATCTGCTGATCAGGATACAGGAAGCGAGCACCTCCATCCACCTTCCCTACCAGAGCGAGACATGATACCCCTGATACTGCTGGGACCAGGCATTAGCCCGTGGGCCTCCACATTCTGCATTTTTGCAGAGCTCATAAACACATTCTGCCTGTGGTCAATACACAAATCAGTTCACTCACTGTGTCCTGAGGTTCTTATTCTAAGCCCCAGAAACCATGCATAGTTATGTGAGGGCTGCTGTGATTGTTCCCCCAGAGGCCATCAGGAACTTCTTGGTACCTTTGAATGCAGAGCAGTGTATCTTTCTGTTGCATCCTTCAGTTTTCCCTTCACTAACATTCCAGTTGCTGATGCCTCTCTGCCTTCCTCAAAGCTGTTTTCTGTGTCTAAAACTTTCTGTCCGGAGATGGTCACAAATCGCAAGTCTCCTTTGTGGGAAATGACATCCTCCGAGAAGCTGCCCTGCCGCTTCAGCAGGGAGGGAAGGGCTTCGGGGCAGCTGCCTCCTTGATGCATGTTCTCCAGCTCTCTCTCAGACCGTTCCAGCCAGTTCTCAAACTCTTCATGGTCCTGCAGAAACTTCTGCAGCTCGTCCCGCAGTGTCTGCACCTGCTTCAGCTCCGCCTCCGACCGGGCCAGGGAAGAGGCATATTGGCCCTTTAGCTCTCCGAGCTTGTCCTCTAGCACCTGGCGTTCTTCGGGGGTGAGGTTGTGGCCATGCTGATCCAGGAAGGCCTGAGCAGACTGGGTGGCCAGGATGAAATTTTGCTGCTGAGACAGCAATTCTTGGTGATGGGCCTGGCAAAAAATCCCCCCAAGCAAAGGACAATCAGCAGGTACACCACAAAAATCTGGTTGTATCTACAGCTGGAAGTAGAGAAAGATCTCAATAGGCCACTTTTCCAGCTGCTCAAAAAACCACCAATATCTCTCACTCTCTAAGGATTATGCCATATACTAATCCCAGCTGAACTGACACATACAAGATCTTACATTTTTCAAAGAGATTTCACATGTATTATCTCAACTGATTTGGGACACAACCTGCAATGTAGGCAGACAATATAATATCTATATTAAACATATTAGGATAAGGGATACCAGAAAGATGTTATATGTCTTGACTAAGGTCACCCAGACAGTTAAGGGACAAACTGAGACTAGAATCTGGCTGTCTTTACTAAACCATCCTAAGCCTAAGAGAAGGTACAAATGGCCAGCTGATAACTACTCACATTAATGGAAGGGGAAAGTAAGTTGGATAAGCCAGACATATGACAGTATAAAAACTGCAAATATTTAGCTGTGAAATATGTCACTTACATATCCATGAAGCCGGTCCCAACTAGAAAAGCTCTTGGAAAATTAATTCATTAAATAAACAATTTAAATTTTAGTGAGAGTAAAATGTATTTCTGGATAGCATAAGTAATTTGTATTTCTTATTTGTATGTGCTATAGCTACATGGTTACACGTGGACCTTTTTCTATTTTGATGGGATTTAAGTTATTTTAGGGAGCTGTGTTTGTTTTGTTTTGTTGTTTAAAATGTTCTTCCTGAGTCTATTAGACAACAGTGGGAGTTCAGCCAGTGTTCCTGCCTACCTATAGTTTATGCAACTACCTAGGATCAGGACAACAGCCTAATTTTTTCTGGAATATTGTCCAGTTTCAACCTGTATCAGCAACCTGACAGTGTCAGCTTCCAACATCACCTCAGGGAAGCTGGGGTGACAAATATTTCCTTCTCAAGTAAATAGTAAGGGGCAGTACCATAGCTTGTCTGTACACCCCCCCAGATGTCCCCATCTCATCCACCCATGAGTAAGGCAGTCTCTTTCCTGGGATGGAGATGCCCCTTGGTCAGGCTGACTACTGCCAGCAACAAGTATCAGGACATTCCTTGTGACAGCAGACCCACTTCTGCTCTGTGCTGTTAAAAGACTGCCACAGCTTTGGGGGACACCCTACAATGGATCTCCAACCATAGAATAGCATGCAAGAGGCAAAAATCTTACTAATACAAAACACAGCAATGACTCACAAAGGCCATTCAATAGAAGATTTCTAGCTAAGCCAAATTTTCTTTGCTATGAAGATATCACTACTAAAATAGGTAATCTATGTGTTTTCTGAGTTCCCTAAACATACTGTTTTTCAGTCATGCCTGCACATGCCAGTTAATATTCTAGGAGATGGTTCATCTGGTTGGTTCACTGGTTTAACTCCAGTGCCGGACATATAGCAGGTGCTCAATATTTGCTGAATAATGAATAAAGGAATAGAGATAAATAGTCAGGAATGGTTTCTTGAGGGCAACAGGCAACCACTAAAAGGCTCGATCAGGGATATAGCATTTTAGAGCAAGGATGGGAAAGGAGAGAGAAAGGAGCCCAGGATGATGTTTAGTTCAGACAATTATGTGGAAGTAGAGGAAGGAGAACACATCTGACTGGGGGAGGGGTGTTATAGGAAACAGGAGCTCTGTTTTTGAGGTTCAGCTGTTTGTGGTTCCAAGTTACAAATAGGCAGATGGATTTATGTACTGGTTTGAAGCTCAGCACAGGCATTAAGGCTGGAGACAAATACATACTGGAATTCACTAGTATAAATAGTAAGTGAAGTGTCATGAGTGGATGAAATTACCCAAGGGAAGCATATTCTGAAAGATGAGAATAGGCTTAGGCAACAACCCGGAAGCACATCAGTATTTCACAAGTTGGCCAGAGGAAAGGAAAAGGGATTACTGGGGCAGAGTCCTGCTTTGGAAACCAAGGCACACAGTATTTCAACGGTGTCAAAGCTGCTGAAGTATTGAAGAGGGCATGAACTGAGAAGTGCGCACAGAATTTACGGGCAAGGAGGTTATGGTGACTTGCCTGGGGTGGCAGAGAGCCCCTGGCATCGTGAGGACAAGCTAACATCCTCACCTTCATCTTCTCGCACTGCTTGTCCAGCTCCTCCAGGGCTTGGTTCACTGCCCTGTGGCCATCAGTGGTGTCCATGGCTCCTTTCCCCAGGCCAGCTCCTGACAGCTGCTCCATCTGTCTGCCAGTCGATCCCACCCCAGTCACCCAATCCAAGAGAGCATCAATCTTACTCCTGTTCTCGGCCAGTTCCTTTGCTGCTTTACTCTGAAAGCCATAGAAGAGGTTTAGTAAGAAGACCTTAGATACTCGGCTATACAAGAACAAATTAAGTAAAAGGTGAGACTTTTATGCTAAAGAAGAAGAGAAGCTCTAAGACTACGTATAAACATTCGTGGCATCCACAAAAAAGAATGAGCATCTTCTAAATCTGTTGAAAAACAATTACTTACAACAATCTCTAGATTTTGTCTGTATCTCACTGCTCAAAAAAAAAAAAGTGAGTAGGGGGCAGGGGTGGGTGGCAAATTTCAGGATTTAAAAGGGCTTTAATAGAGGATTTGATCCTGGCTTCCCAGCAAGGCTTCACAGAATCCTTTCTAGGTGTGTGGAAATGATAGCCTGGCTTGGTAGGGTCAGAAACAGCACAGTCACACTCATTGCTTGCTGCCCTTCCCTAAGGGAAATGCAGACTACTCCCATCCTTTTTTCTGCCACACAGAGCACTGAGTTCTAAAATTTGCCTCTCAAATTCCATTATCTGACTGTTCAAGTATTTTAATTTATTAAACATTCATGTATTTCACAATTCCCCTTCAGGTAACTTATTTCTCCTTTCCACATTCTCCACCTCCCCCATTAGTGTCAGAGTCCGCGGCCAGGCAAAGGATTTAATTCAATCTGCCGGTGCTGAGGGGGGTGCAGAAAGCGGTTTGAGACTTTACCTACTCCTAGACTTGTACCAGTGCCACAGTTTGCACTGAATCTATAGGGGCAGCCTGGGGATAGTTTGTGGCACACTAAGACCCCCCCACCTACTTCCCCCTAGTGCTGTTGGATCATCAGTATAGATTCATGTTTGAAATATGCCATTTGCTCTTTCTTCCTCAGTGTACTACCCTTCTTCACTAAGTTCTTTCCAACATTTTTCAATTGGAGGACTGTGAGTACACAGATAGCAAAAAAAAAATCTGTTTCTCTGGGGGGGGGTGGGGTAAGTGATATGCACTTCCCACCAACTATACTTGACTTAAAGTCCTTCAGGATGATTCTTATACAAATAAATCTTGACTGGGGTGCCTGGGTCAGGATCTCACAGTTCATGAATTCGAGCCCCACATTGGGCTCCATGCTCTCAGTGAGGAGCCTGCTTGGGATTCTCTCTCTCTCTGCTCTCCCAAACTCTCTCTCTCTCACAACAAATAAATAAACTGTAAATACACACACACATAGATACATATATGACTCACAGACCAACTCCAAAGTAACCCCTTTTCATAATTCTGTTCTCTGTAAGGCAATGAGTTTCCCTTCATTATATACCTTTTACTTGTTTGCCAGGTACCAAAATTTTCATTTTTGAAAAATACCAAGTATCAAAGCAGTCTGGTTACCTTTTCAGTCTCCTGCTGTACGGCTGAAGTCACCACTTCTTCCAGCTCCTTCTGGGCCACCCGTGTCCGTTCCTGGAGAGCCTCATACTGTTCCTTAGCCTGATGAAGCTTCTCCCGAAGAGCTGTCAACTCGTGGGGGCTCAGCTTGGCCTGGTTCTCTTCCAGGAACCCTTCGATGTCTTTGACAACACTGGCAAATGAGGTGGCCCGATTCTGAATATCGTCCTGTAAATCCTTAACACACGAACACAGGGATGGTAGAGACTTCAGTGTTACTTCTTCTAAGATTGCTAACAGTGCGAAGATGGAATGGCTAGCATGACACAGACCTGCATCAGATGTGTGTCCCTCACTATAATCTGCTTTAAGGTTTATGTCTAAGCCAATGCAAATAATTTCTAAGATTTTTTTACTTAAGAAATTTTCTAATATTTATTAGAAATATTAAATATTAAATTAAATATTTAAATTAAATATTTCTAATATTTAATTTTCTAAGCAAAATTTAAATTTCTAAGCAAACATTTGATGAAGACAAAAGAGGAGACTCCCCACAAACATGATGTTTATTTTGCAATGAGTTATCTTCAAAGAGATCATTCTTCTATAAAGAGGAGTTGACAGTAGGATTCCAGCTGAGTCAAGGCTTGGTTTCTCCCTTATACTTCCTTGGTTATCACTTCTTCTCCTTCTTCTTCTTTTTTTTTTTTTTTTTTTTTTTTCAAAGTTTTTTATTTATTTTTGGGACAGAGAGAGACAAAGCATGAACGGGGGAGGGGCAGAGAGAGAGGGAGACACAGAATTGGAAACAGGCTCCAGGCTCGAGCCATCAGCCCAGAGCCCGACGCGGGGCTCGAACTCACGGACCGCGAGATCGTGACCTGGCTGAAGTCGGACGCTTAACCGACTGCGCCACCCAGGCGCCCCTCCTTCTTCTTTTTTTAAAGTAATCTTTAAAAAAGATTAGCCAACGTGGGCTTGAACTCACTACCGCAAAATCAAGAGTCACATGCTCTACCAACTGAGCCAGCCAGGTGCCCCATCACTCCTTATCCTTAATGTGGCCTTCGAGGCCCAGCAGGATGTGGATCCTGCCTCCCATCATTCACTAATCTTCCTTTTGCTCACTGCAGTCCAACCAAACTAGCTTCCTTTCAGTTCTTGAATACATTGTACTTGGCACAGTCTCCTCCTCCTTCCATGCCTCTGTGCGTTAACTCCTATATACCCTTTGCTTCTCAGTTTAAGGTGACACTTTTTCAAACTAATCTTTTCTGACATCCTAGACAAGATTGGGTCTGGCTGTTATATATTCTTGTGTAACTTTTCCTTTATCCATACCATAGTTAATAACTACATGCTCGTTTTTATGATGATCTGTGTAATGTCTGTCTCTCCCATGAGACTGTAAGTTTCAAGAGAACAGGGAGGTTTACCATTATGTTGCCTGGTACATAGCAGGCCTTTATAAATATCTGTTGAAGGAATGAGAAGAATGAATTAACTCATACTGACCTTTAAGTCACTCTGGTTCTTCTGCAAAGCGGAGAGATCCTGCTGGGTGGCTCTACCTTGGTGGCCTGCCAATGTGCTTTCTGCCTGTCCTAGCCAGTTGCAAAGATCGTCCAGTTTCTGGTAACAGGTATTTTGTTGTTTCTGCAGGGTCTAATTAAAATGCAAAGGGGCCGAGAGATAATTAATAATTCTCATTTTTACAAATAGAAGATAACTCCCTGAAATATGGAACAGGAATGTTATATCTTTAGGATGGAAAAGTTGGTGAGAGATTAGAACAGGAAAAAGCACAGAAGTCATATTCTGAAAGCTCCCCTCATTTGGACAGTCTGTTGACCCAGGTCAATAGTTTGGATAATTTCAGGTGAGAATGCTCCCAGGTTTTGGTTGGGAGTTCCTTTGCCAGACTGCTGTTATCTGGATTATCCCTGGAAATGGAGAACAGAGAGCCCAGATGCTTCAAATTCATATTCATATCATGGTGATAATAGTAAATTAGTGGTTTTAATCAATTCCTCCACCAGAACTGGAAGATATGCTACATACAAAGTTAAAATATGGAAAATTAAAAGGACTGGATTAGGAAGAAAAAAAATCAAGGAACTGGATAATTCATAAGCTAACTGAGCTTCTTAATAATTGAGCTGACTTTATAAATTAAATGTCTCACAGATGTAGACACCCATTAAATGGAATGATTACATGCCAGGCATGAGGGGCTTGGCTATTTTGAGAAGGAAACTGCCCAAGAATAGCAACTTTCTCAGTCCTTTAGGTATCTACACTGATATCAAAGAGAAAAGCCAGGCCCCGGGGGAGGGAGGGAATATGTTTCTGTGCCTGATCCTTTCTCCAGATCTCATCTTGGCTGCATGACACTGAAGCACCTAATTGAGCCATTGAGCATGATGTGTTCTCCTGACCATCCTTCTGGAACCATTTTCCACCAGTTTCTACCTTCTGATGGTGTTTTAGCCACCTGCACTTACAAACAGGTGCCCAAATTGGCCCTCTCTCCCCCTCTTTAGGACAAATAGAAGGGCTCTGGAAGAGAACTCCTAAGAGCTCTTCAGCTGTAAAACGGGATCTTCATGGGTTAGGATGGGTGCAGACTGAATCTGAAAAAAGCAAAGCAAACAAGTTAACACACGGACATACACATGCATTCAGGGCAAATATAGAGAGAAGCAGAGCATTTCTGACAATAACAAGGTTAATAAACATTGTGGAATCAATTATGTGCTCAGAGAGAATGTTCACATGCAGTTCTACCACCTGCTGCAGCTCTGCGGTCTACCCTGGATCCAGGCTATATCTTAAAGTGGCTCAGACCAATACTATTGCGTTAATTATCCACAAACTACACCATGCTATATAAGTTCCCAAGTGAGGATGTGGCAAATTTTCAGATTTGGAAAGTAACCTAAAGGGTTTCATTAGTATTTTATTTCAATTTCAATGCAGTTGGAGCAGGTAAGCAGTAATGGGGGACATACGGAACTGACCAACCTAATTTCCTCTAGGCCTAACTCAAAAGTTCAATTCGACTTTGCACGATATTTAATAAAGGCGACCCTGAGACAGATTGCTGGTGATAATGACATTCTAATAGCATCTTGCTGAATTCCAACTTTTCAAACAGCAAAAATGGCATAAGCATCATTTTTGGTATTTTTAGGTTATGATGTCACCATTAATGCAATTATGTTGAGTTCTGCAAGAGGGTTATGTGTGGTAGGATGGTTTGTTTTCAAAATGTAACATCCTTGATTCTACACAGTTTTCCATAATTGAATGAGCACTAGGCATTACAGTGTGAAGAAAGGTGCTAGAAAATAATAATTATTTTTAAAGTGCTAAAAAGTTAATATTCTGATAAAAATTTGTCAGCTGTTTGAAGGTGGTCAAGGAATATTACTGTCAATCATTTGAAAAGCCCCAGAATAAAACTCATTTCAAAACCATTCTTCTCAAGAGCTCAGAGTACCTAAATGTTCCTAATGGCCCTCAAACGACTCCTGGGGGAGAAAGGAGGAGAAACTAGGGCTGGAGATTGAACTTCCACTTGAAAGTCAGAAACAATGAGGCACAGTGAGGGTAGAGTCTCACTAAAAAGAAAATACTTGCACATGCATACACAGGTAAACACATGTATTCTCTCACACGCACATAAAACCAAAAACATGGCAAGAAAAACAGCCAGAATAGCTGCCTCCTAGACCAGAACCAAACTGGCCTGGAGGATGTGAAATTTCAAAATTGGCAAACGCAGGCTCCTAGAATTATGACGGATGGAGTCTGGCCAGAAATCTCAAAGACAGAGGATACCCCAAAAGACAAAGTGAGCCCAGCCGCTGGTTCAGTCTGACCTTGACCTGGACTGCCTGCTCCATTTGTTGAAAACGGCCCTGCAAGGCATCCATCTGAGCTGTGGCCTGCTCCGCAAGGTCTTGGAAGGACCTCTGCAGTTCATTCAGAAGCCTCAGCATCTGTCGGTTCTGCTGAGGGGATAAGTCTTGGGCATGCTCCGAGATAAAGAACTGAATATCAAAAGCAAGAGCATCCAGCTGAGATTTCCTGTCAGCCATGGGCTGCTTCAAATCCTAAGAAAGGAAATGAAAGAAATAAAATAAATAAAAATAAAACTTCTAATTCTCTATCAAAGTAGAATCTGTTGGTTTTAATCAGAGTCAACATTAAAGAGAGGTTAATTTAATAATCAATACTGATAATTTCTAGGGCCAAACCAGCATAGGAAATCTCTCTCACTTCTGCTCTCTCCAAACTCCTCATATCTTACAATTAGGTTTCCTTTACTGGACTTTGATTTCCAAATGCAGTAAGCTTTTAATTATTCATGTTAATATAATTATACTACTTACTGTTCATCCCGGGTATCTACAGACAACATTTTTTTTTTTTAATGTTTGGAGAATATATCATGAATTTCCAGTCTGAGATAGATCTAATTGTATTTTCTTAGATTCAAACATCTATTTGTATTTGTCCAGCAGTGAGTTACCGGGAGACCAGAAGTGAGAAAGTACTCAATTTGTCTGTGGTTCACTAAACCATGATTTTGACAGTAAATTATGTTGCTTATACATTTTAAAAAGTGTAAAAAACTACAGCGAGACCTTCTTATATAACAGTTCCATTGCTTCCTTAAAGCACTAAAACCTGCCTAAACACTAGCATTTATCTGTTTTCAGGCAATTAAAAGCATGCAAAATTTCCACAAACAGTTAGCGATCATCAGCCGTGTAATACTGCAATAAAGACAATGAAGATATCTACATCGCTATCACTTTGAAACTGAGTGTAGTCAGCAGTCCTGCAGAGCAGGTGGAAAGGACTTCTGGGTTATTTATCATTAAGCTAAGGATCTTTCTTCACCTGTGACAAATGGATTTGGGAAACTGTCATTAGGAAAACAAGACTTAGACCATGTTTGTCTTCCCATAAAGGCATGCATTTAAGTTATAACTAGGGGAGGAAGCCAGTGCATGAGACGCTCTGTGTTTTTATACCATATACTATGTCACAGGATTTTTTTTTTCACTTTTTTTTTTAATACTCCTGTTAGTGAACAGAGCAAGTCTGCAACTCACTCCCCTAATGATATATTTGGATAAAAGGGTATAAACAAAGATGGCAGGTCAATTCTTGCAAGACAAAAAGGGATGGGGTTGGAAACAAGAAGCCTGACCATGGATAAACTCTTAGGACTGGGGAAAAGGAACAAAAGGAGGGGATATCTTTAGTTCTGCTCTGACTTTAGAAATAATTTAAGGAGTGTGCTATCCATAGTAGAGGGAGGGTAAACCACTGTGAGTAATATCTGATATTATCTTGAGTATAACCAAAACAAAGAACAATGTTGGGAGGAAAAAAAACCAAAACACCTCAGTTCTTGTATATCTCAGTCTTTACCTTTCTCTCACTGACCTATAAAAAGAATCAGTTAATTTAAAGCTTAACAAGAAGAAAAGCATCAGTCTAGATCAGGGGTTGGCAATCAACAGCCCCCAGGCTAAATATGTCTGCCATCTGTTTTTGTAAATAAAGTTTATTGTAACACATCCATGACCATTCATTTACGTACTGTCTACAGCTGCTTTCGTGTTTCAACAGCAAAAGTGAATGGCTGCTACAGAAAAGGTCCATTTGTATAAGACCAGCAAGGCCTAAAATATTTATTATCTGGCCCTTTGTTTGCCAAGCCATGCTCTCAACCATGGATCAACAATTCTCCTGAAATTAGTGTGTGTAAAATTAGAAACAAGGGATGGGTACTAGATGCTCAGTTATCAAGACAAGATGAAGTTGATAATCACAGACCATTCTGTAGACTCTCCCTCACAGAATAGCTGAAAGGAGAAATAACCATAATGACTGAGGTTCCAAGGGTATGAGAACCTAAAAGACTAAACACAGCAGACTTTATTTCTAAAATGGAAAACCAGTCTTTCGAAGATAGATAGATACTTGTTTGCCTGGCAGGAAAATAAAATTGACGCAATTCAAAGGACAACTAAAACATGCTTGAGAATGGGTGGACAGTCTACCTCATACCGCTGGAGACAGTGATTCAGGCTGTCTGCATTGGTGTCATCGTTATATTCTTTGCTGTTCAGAATAAGATTGGTATCGCCAACCCAGTCTCTCAGATCTTGAAGTCTGCCGTCTAGCTGTTCACGCTGACTTAACACTTTAGTCTAAGAAATAAATGTCAAATTAGACTATAAAAATCTTTGAGCCACCCCAGACGTTGTGAGCCTTTGTGAATAAAAACAAGAAGCTACCTTCTGGACTTCCATAGCACTCTGGAGGTGGAATAGTCTGGAACTCCAGGTGTCACTCACAGAGCTGAGGGACTTTTGGAGATTCTTGGCATCCTTCTCTAGAGCCTTCAACAGTTGAGCAGGAACTTCTTGAGGCTGGCTGATGATAATCTGATTTACACGCTCTAGTTGCTGATGAACCAAGGTGGACAGATCCTTTAGCTCACTGTCTAATACCTGAGGGGATAAAATGAGTTACCTCCGAAATTAAGGCTAGAACTCTTACTACTTAGGAATCAACTGTGGACATAGTTTTCTGTCACTTATGCCTGCACATGCTTTACAGCTTAGAAAAAGGTTTTATGT